TCAGCAGAGTTCTGAATATATTATGTTCAAATAACTTAAGGCTTAATAACAAAGAAAAATAATGAAATAATCTTAGGTTGCTAAAACATAAACATCTACATAAGAATATTACTACATGGAATATTAAACAAAAATAGAAATACAAAAATACAAAAATAGTTATTATTAATATAAAACATAATAGTATAATATAAGGTATATTATAATATATGACACAATAATATCTACCTTTAATTAAATAAAAAAATATATAAAAGCAACAAAGATTAAAAAAGAAAATATTTTAATAAATAATAAATTATCATCCAAACAATTTTAGAGACCAGAAAATAACTTGTAACTTATTTTTTACTCATCTTCATCTAATAAACATTAATATTAATACCAACTTTAAACATTATTAGAATTTTTTTTATTAAAAAATAAAAATACTACATCAGTTACTTTTTGAGCTTTTCTTATTTTACTTAAAACTCTTTTTTTTACTCAATCCTAGGCTTTTTTACAAAATTGTAATTTAACTTGTAATGTTGAATTAATACTGAAAAAAAAAATTAGCAGACAAAAAGAAAATATTTCTTTATTGAAATATATGTAAATATTTCAATAAAGAAATTTTAGATTGATTTTTATAAATATAAATTTATATCAATCAACCAAAATTTTTTTCTTTTCCGACATCTTTTCGAAATGGAGCGCATAAGAAGTTAGACAAAATGCCATCAATTAAATTTTCAGTCGCTCCATCGTATTTAATAGAAGAAGCTGTTAATAAAAAAAAAAATTAAAAAAAAAAAAAACACAAGGAGAAATTTTTGAATATATAAAATATGAGAATAAAAAAGTTTAACATATCTTATAAAGATATACCTTTCACTACACCATACAAATTAGTGCTCTTAAAGCATATTTCCACCTTTCCCCTTCATATTCATGGAAGTCACAAAATTGTTGGAAAATATTCTAAATTTTAATAGATAAGAGAACTGATATTAATTAATCGAAAACTAATATTATTATTTTTTTTAATTTAAATTGAACTCATTATCAAACAATTTTTTTGCTAAATAATTTAATCCTTAAAATTCCTGAATAATTAAAAATTATTTTGATTACCTCAGCATTATTTTGTGAATTCTGTCTTTTAAAGATATTCCATCAATTGCAATTGATTCACTTAAAACACATGTAAAGCTAATATTATTGTTTGAAATTTTAATTATCTTTATAAAAAAACTCATCTTATTTTTTAAGTGACTGATAAAAATGGATTTAATTAAAATCGTTTCATTTGTATTAAAAAATTAATATTAAAGCCTTAATCATACATTATACAAAAGTATTTTGTAATACAATCTAAATAGTTGTTGCGATTTGTAATTTCTTTATCCGAAATTTAGCTTTTGTAAGCTTTAAAAATTTTTTAAAGAAATTATTGATGAATTTGGAGCTACGGGTACTAATGATTTTATATTGTTGTAATGTTTGTATTCATTCCCTGTTAGTTTCTCCATGTCAAAATTTTTTAGGTGTTTCCATAATAAACTCTGTTATATTTTTTTCATTTCGTGCTGAAGTTCTTTTTTAAAGTTATTAATTTCCTTTTTTAATTCTTGATGCTCTTTTATAAAGCAACGCTTAACATTAAATTCAACATAATTTAATGGATCATTTTTTGAAAAAGTTGTATTATTTGCATTTAATAATATAAGTCTTTGAGCATTATAGGCCAAATTAAACGAAAAATATTGATTTTAAAACGATAATGCTCTTTCAGGAAAATTGTGTAAACATGTTTTCGATCTCTTGAAAATTCTATATGTTAAAGGTTCAGTATTTACATTTTTTCCCATTATAAATCTCTTTAACTTAAACCGTTAAAATAATGTTTACGTATTTACTTCCATTTCTGCGCGCGTTAAAAATTATATCGGAACTGTGAAAAAGTATTTTTTGTCAACAATGATTTAACGTTGACATAACGTTAAAGAATCAATGTTTAAACTGTAACGTTGATTTAAGGTTGAAATAACGTTAAATAATTAACGTTTAAACGGTAACGTTGATTTAACGTTGTGACATAGTTGAACAACGTTGAAACAACGCTTCAACCAAATTTCAACGTTGAAACAACGTAATGATGCCGGCTGGGTCATGTTTTCATAAAATTCTTTAATTTGAGGTATTATACAAAGCATTATTAGTCTGTGAACACCTGTTAACTTTCCTTTTTTGCTAGCTATACCCCCTTCAGAATACAAGGATCTTTTTTTGTTAGAAAGGCTTACCCAGCTAGCACACATACGTTGTTAAAACATAAGAACAATGTCGCGCGTTTCGTTAGCCCAATATCGGCTGCCAACGTTGTTTTTATATCATTATGGTTAAAAATGCGACTTCGCCTACAACTAAAAACCGATGTTGATAAAACGTTTTTTTAAAGTCGGAAAATGGCTATATTTTCTACGTTGATACAACGTTTTAATTTATACGTTGGCCCAACGTTGTATTTTAAGTTGGCACAACGTTTTATTTACGTTGATTCAACGTTGAACTTTAATTGGCAAAACATTTAATATAAAGTTATTCGTAATTAAATTTTCATTAAGTTCTATTTTATTGTATATATATATATATATATATATATATATATATATATATATATATATATATATATATATATATATATATTTATATATATATATACACAATAAATATTTATCTAGTAGATATATTAATATTTACATAAAAAAAATTTTTTTTTTTTTTTGTAAGTATATATATCCATACATAATATATAGATATATGTACATAGATACACGCATTACTACGTTAGCTATTATGAGTTTTACAAATGATGATTAAACTTGATCATCAAATTGAAATTCATGTTTGTGTTGATTGTGGTTTGATATTTTAATAACCACGGAAGATTTTATTTAAGTTATATAATTTCGCAATTGCAACGTTCGGTCGCATACATTGGATCAACGTTGGGTTTAGTTCGTAAAAACAATCAACCTTTTGCGATCTATTTACATACATTGGATCAACGTTGATTTATATACATTGAATCAAATTCACCTTCTACATCAAACATATCTTGTGTAATCTGATATAAACTTTTCAAAGATTTAGATTTTTCTGATGCCTGCTCTCTGTGATAGGCAAGAACAGCCTTTTTACCTATGTTGGATCTAATAAAATTACTAAATTTTTCCATTACATTTAAAGATACTCCAGTATTTACGTGAAAGTTATTCAAACATTCGCTAGAAAAGTTGACTTTTTTTGGCTATATCAGGTTTTAAAACAATTTGTGATTTGTATCTGCATTTTGAATAAAGTTCTAAGCAAATAATTTTTTTATTTGAATCTTTTTGATTATCTGCCTTATGGTTTTGTTTAAAATTTTTTCAATATTTTCTGCTGATTTTGTTTTCTTGCAATAATGGGAAAGTCTTTTTCCAATTTCTGATTTGCAATATAAAAAAATAATTATTGAACTTGCACCTTCATTACCTATAAATTTTGAATAGAAATATCACTCTCTTTGTTTGTTATTATATAATTATATTTATTTATTATATATTTATTATTATATTATTATATGTATGTAATTATTTTTTTCCCACATGGTGCACACACTTTTACTCTAGATTCATTATGATTTGCTGATTTGTTAGGCATATCTTGAGTATAATACTCAATACTTATTTCTAAAGAATTAGTTCATAATTTTCCAAAAAATAAAGATGTCAAAAGTAAAGACTATATTTATATGCATAAATAATATTATTGCTATTACTCACATTTGTTTTCATTTCCGTTTATAATTTCTTGATAAAAGCTCAAAACTTTATTATTTTAGTTTAATAGAGTTCTTAGCTATTTAGTAATACAAAACTATTGTAATTAAAAACCAGAAATATACACAAATAATCTACCCAGCAAACATGTAAGCGTTGAATCAACGTTGAAAACCAGTCGCAGCGTAGAAAAAGCGTTACAGTCACAAAAACAACGTGCTTTCAACGTTGAATCAATGTCTGTTTTTGTATTCTAAATCGCGGTAAATTGAAACGTTGAATAAGCGTTGAAATTGTAACGTAATTTAGCCTCTCAAAATAAAACGTTTATTCAACGTGGAATCAACTTACGCAAAAAGCCACTTTAAAAACGTTTCGAAGTATATTCTTTATCAACGTTAAAAACAAACCGCTTTTTAAACGTTACATTTTCAACGTTGAATAAGCGTATAAATTTAAACGTATCTTATCTTCTCAAAAAAATGCGTTTATTAAACGTTAAAAATAAGTACGCAAATAATCACTGTAAAAACGTCGCAAAGGTAATGGTTTATCAACGTTAGACATTAGCTGCTTTTTCAACGAATTTAAACTATTTAAAAAACAACACTTATTCAACGTTATTTCAACGTTGGTTGAAAATGTGGTAATTAAAAAACGTTGAAAAAGTGTTACTTTGCCAACGTTAATAAAACGTTGTTTTGACAATGTTGAGGAAGTGGCACATTGAAAATTATTGTCTCAATAATTAGCCATTACAAAAATAATTTGCATTTATATATGTATTTATATATGTATGTAAGAGAGGCATATTGTGTGTATAATAAATACATGTTTTTTTTTTTTAATTACAAAATATTGTCATGTCTAATCATTTTTATTGAAAAATATAAAAGTTGGTATAATGGTTTGGAAATTTTATTAAAGAATTATTATCAATATTTAAGAGTTTAATATTTTATGAGGAATTTAATATTTATATAGTTTAACATTTATTTATTACTTTATTAAGAGTTTGTATACTAGTTTTATTAAGTATCTGAATACAGACCTATGAAGTCTCTCCCATTTGGCAGGAGTTTTCTGAATTTTGAAGAGAAATTTATCTCCAACCTGCATTTAAAAATAATTAAAAAACTTTCTTTTCCTCATTAGTAATTTAAAATACACCAAGCTTCTAACTTTTTAAAT